ACACACGGTAAGAGAGAATCACACACACGCACGGTAAGAGAGAATCACACACACACGGTAAGAGAAAATCACACACACACGGTAAGACAAAATCTCTCACACACACGGTAAAGAGAGAATCACACACAAACGGTAAGAGAGAATCACACACACACACGGTAAGAGAGAATCACACACACAGTAAGAAAGAATCACACAGTAAGAGAGACTCACACACACACGGTAAGAGAGAATCACACACACACACGGTCAGAGAGAATCACACACACAGTAAGAAAGAATCACACACAGTAAGAGAGACTCACACACACAGTAAGAGAGAATCACACAAACACGGTCAGAGAGAATCACACACACACACGGTCAGAGAGAATCACACACACACGGTAAGAGAGAATCACACACACACGGTAAGAGATAATCTTACACACACACGATAAGAGAGAATCACACACACACGGTAAGAGAGAATCACACACACACGGTAAGAGATAATCTTACACACGGTAAGAGATAATCTTACACACACACGATAAGAGAGAATCACACACACACGGTAAGAGAGAATCACACACACAGGGTCATAGAGAATCACACACACACAGTAAGAGAGAATCACACACACAGTAAGAGAGAATCACACACACACGGTAAAAGACTCACACACACGGTAAGAGAGAATCACACACACACAGTAAGAGAGAATCACACACAAACGGTAAGAGAGAATCACACGCACGGTAAGAGAGAATCACACACACACACGGTAAGAGAGAATCACACACACACGGTAAGAGAGAATCACACACACACGGTAAGAGAGAATCACACACACGGTAAGAAAGAATCACACACACAGTAAGAGAGAATCACACACACGGTAAGAGAGAATCACACACACGGTAAGAGAGAATCTCACACGCACACGGTCAGAGAGAATCACACACGCACACGGTAAGAGAGAATCACACACAGCAAGAGAGAGACACACAGCAAGAGAGACTCACACACACACACGGTAAGAGAGAGAGACAGAGATAGCTAACGGGAGAATCACACACACAGTAAAAGAGAATCACACACACACGGTAAGAGAGAGAGACAGAGATAGCTAACGGGAGAATCACACACACGGTAAGAGAGACTCACACACACACACGGTAAGAGAGAATCACACACACACGGTAAGAGAGAGACAGAGATAGCTAACGGGAGACTCATACACGGTAAGAGAGACTCACACACACACAGTAAGAGAGAATCACACACACACACGGTAAGAGAGAGATAGCTAACGGGAGACACACACACGGTAAGAGAGACTCCCACACACACACGGTAAGAGAGAATCACACACACACGGTAAGAGAGAATCACACACACACGGTAAGAGAGAGACAGAGATAGCTAACGGGAGAATCACACACACACAGTAAGAGAGACTCACACACACACAAGGTAAGAGAGACTCATACACACAGTAAGAGAGACTGACACACACACGGTAAGAGAGAGACAGAGATAGCTAACGGGAGAATCACACACACAGTAAGATAGAATCACACACACACGAGGTAAGAGCGACTCACACACACACAGGGTAAGAGACAGAGATAGCTAACGGGAGAATCACACACACACAAGGTAAGAGAGACTCTCACACACACACGGTAAGAGAGAGACAGAGATAGCTAACGGGAGAATCACACACACACACACGGTAAGAGAGCCTCACACACACACAGGGTAAGAGAGAATCACACACACAGGGTAAGAGAGAGACAGAGATAGCTAACGGGAGAATCACACACACAGTAAGAGAGAATCACACACACACAGGGTAAGAGAGACTCACACACACACAAGGTAAGAGAGAGACAGAGATAGCTAACGGAAGAATCACACACACAAGGTAAGAGAGACTCACACACACACACGGTAAGAGAGAGACAGAGATAGCTAACGGGAGAATCACACACACACAGTAAGAGAGACTCACACACACACACGGTAAGAGAGAGACAGAGATAGCCAACGGGAGAATCACACACACACACGGTAAGAGAGACTCACACACACACAGGGTAAGAGAGAATCACACACACAGGATAAGAGAGAGACAGAGATAGCTAACGGGAGAATCACACACACACAGTAAGAGAGAATCACACACACACAGGGTAAGAGAGACTCACACACACACAAGGTAAGAGAGAGACAGAGATAGCTAACGGAAGAATCACACACACAAGGTAAGAGAGACTCACACACACGGTAAGAGAGAGACAGAGATAGCTAACGGGAGAATCACACACACACGGTAAGAGAGACTCACACACACACGGTAAGAGAGAGACAGAGATAGCTAACGGGAGAATCACACACACACAGTAAGAGAGACTCACACACACGGTAAGAGAGAATCACACACACACACACGGTAAGAGAGAGACAGAGATAGCTAACGGGAGAATCACACACACACGGTAAGAGAGACTCACACACACAGGGTAAGAGAGAATCACACACACGGTAAGAGAGACAGAGATAGCTAACGGGAGAATCACACACACACACAGTAAGAGAGAATCACACACACACAAGGTAAGAGAGACTCACACACAAGGTAAGAGAGACAGAGATAGCTAACGGAAGAATCACACACACAAGGTAAGAGAGGCTCACACACACACAGGGTAAGAGAGACTCACACACACAGGGTAAGAGAGAGAGACAGAGATAGCTAACGGGAGAATCACACACACACAGTAAGAGAGAATCACACACACACACACAAGGTAAGAGAGACTCACACACAAGGTAAGAGAGACTCACACACAAGGTAAGAGAGACAGAGATAGCTAACGGAAGAATCACACACACAAGGTAAGAGAGGCTCACACACACACAGGGTAAGAGACTCACACACACACAGGGTAAGAGACAGAGATAGCTAACGGGAGAATCACACACACACAGTAAGAGAGACTCACACACACAGGGTAAGAGATAATCACACACACGGTAAGAGAGAGACAGAGATAGCTAACGGGAGAATCACACACACACAAGGTAAGAGAGAATCACACACACACAAGGTAAGAGAGACTCACACACACACAAGGTAAGAGAGACACACACACAGGGTAAGAGACAGAGATAGCTAACGGGAGAATCACACACACAAGGTAAGAGAGACACACACACAGGGTAAGAGACAGAGATAGCTAACGGGAGAATCACACACACAAGGTAAGAGAGGCTCACACACACAGGTTAAGAGAGACTCACACACACACAGGGTAAGAGACACAGATAGCTAACGGGAGAATCACACACACAGTAAGAGAGACTCACACACACACAAGGTAAGAGAGACTCACACACACACAAGGTAAGAGAGACACACACACAGGGTAAGAGACAGAGATAGCTAACGGGAGAATCACACACACAAGGTAAGGGAGGCTCACACACACACAGGGTAAGAGAGACTCACACACACACAGGGTAAGAGAGACTCACACACACACAGGGTAAGAGACACAGATAGCTAACGGGAGAATCACACACAGAGGTAGACGAGGCGGGCAGTGCATAACACAGACACGGAGAGAACACACAGACACACACAGATACACACAGACACACACAGATACACACAGACACACAGAGACACAGACACGGAGAGAACACACAGACACACACAGAGACACACACAGATACACACAGACACACAGAGACACAGACACGGAGAGAGTACACAGACACACACAGATACACACAGACACACACAGATACACACAGACACACAGAGACACAGACACGGAGAGAACACACAGACACACACAGATACACACAGACACACACAGATACACACAGACACACAGAGACACAGACACGGAGAGAACACACAGACACACACAGATACACACAGACACACACAGATACACACAGACACACAGAGACACAGACACGGAGAGAACACACAGACACACACAGAGACACACACAGATACACACAGACACACAGAGACACAGACACGGAGAGAGTACACAGACACACACACAGAGACACACAGCACAGCACACACACACAGAGAGAAGCAAAGAGAGAGAGGAGCAGCATACAACACACACCACACACAGGCAGAGAGAGAATGAGCTAGAGTGCACAGACACACACAGGCAGAGAGAGACAGAGAATGAGCTAGAGTGCACACACAGACACACACAGACACACACAGAGAGAGAATGAGCTAGAGTGCACAGACACACACACAGGCAGAGAGAGACAGAGAATGAGCTAGAGTGCACACACAGACACACACAGAGACACACACACAGCATAGCACACAGAGACACAACGACACACACAGGCAGAGAGAGAGAATGAGCTAGAGTGCACAGACACACACAGGCAGAGAGAGACAGAGAATGAGCTAGAGTGCACACACAGACACACACAGAGACACACACACAGCATAGCACACACAGAGACACAACGACACAGGCAGAGAGAGAGAATGAGCTAGAGTGCACACACAGACACACACAGAGACACACACAGACACACACACAGCATAGCACACAGACACACACACAGAGACACACAACACACAGGCAGAGAGAGAGAATGAGCTAGAGACATACAGAGACACACACAGAGACACACACAGGCAGAGAGAGAGAGAGAATGAGCTACAGTGCACACACAGACACACACACAGAGAGAGAAGCAAAGAGAGAGAGAGAGGAGCAGCATACAACACACCACACACAGGCAGAGAGAGAATGAGCTAGAGTGCACAGACACACACAGAGACACACAACACACAGGCAGAGAGAGAGAGAATGAGCTAGAGTGCACAGACACACACAGCACAGCACACACACAGCACAGCACACACAGAGAGAGAGAGAGAGAAGCAAAGAGAGGAGCAGCATACAACACACACCACACACAGGCAGAGAGAGAGAGAATGAGCTAGAGTGCACACACAGACACACACACAGGCAGAGAGAGAGAGAATGAGCTAGAGTGCACACAGACACACACACACACAGAGACACACACAGAGACACACACAGGCAGAGAGAGAGAGAAGGGGAAAGATACAAAAACAAAGTTTGACATCTCTTAATGGGCGAACCGAGTCGGTGCGCGGCGCACAACGTGGCGGGCTGCTGCTGCTGCTGCGGCTTCACCGCCTCCTCTTCCTCCTCCTCCACCACCACCATCATCACCACCACCACCACCACAGCTCGGCCGACACAGCGATCATCATCACCATCATCACCGTCGTCGGCCCCGTGTCCCTCAAGATGGCGGAGAGAGAAGGATCGATGCTCCAATATTGGAAGAAATTTGATCTACAGCGGCTGCAGGTCGGTCCGCGCGTGTGTTGTTGTTGGTGGTGGTGTTGTTGTTGGTGGTGTTGTTGTTGTGGCGGCACCGGGCCCGGGCATGGGGGATGGCGGAGCGAGCGAGGGATAGAAGGGATGGAGATGATGATGATGATGGGATGAAGAAGATGATGGAGTGGACGAGGAGGGAGACGCGCCGTTGATGAGAGGACGAGGTGGAGGTGGTGGTGGTGGCGGGGGAAGGTCCCGACATCACCACCATCATTTGGCGATGGGTTTGTTGTTTTTATTTTTGCTGGCGATGCGATGCGAGCGAGAGAGCGGTGGGGAGATGTGAAACAACCGAAGGAGGGTTGTGGGCTAGACAACAGAAGGCCGAGCAGGATTCGTGTTCATACTGCCTACGGATCGCTCTGAGAGTGATGGTGGGTGACACCACCAACCCCCCCCATTGATATTGATGATTCGGAGAGATGATTGATAATGATGGCGATGATTGATAATGATGGCGATGATGGTTGATTGTTGGGAACATGGTGGCCGTGACCGTGAAGGAGCCACAGTACCCGGCACTGCTGGGTCAGAGAGCTCACGGTCAATACCGACTGACATCACCCCCCCCCTCCATCACCACCATCAACATCATCATCATCACCATCATCATTTCCATGACAGCCCCGTCAACCACCAGACGGTACCGTCATCACTCCAGTGGCGGCGTGGTGGCAGCAACAGCAGCAACGTGCCACCGATTTTTTTGTTTGCGCCATCAGCATAACCACCACCATCATCATCATCACTCCCCAGCATCACTCCCCATCATCACTCCCCATCATCATAATCATCATCACTCCCCATCATCATCACTCCCATCATCATCACTCCCCACCATCATCATCACTCCCCACCATCATCATCATCACTCCCCATCATCATCATCACTCCCCATCATCATCACTCCCCATCATCATCATCATCTCTCCCCATCATCATCATCATCATCTCTCCCCACCATCATCATCACTCCCCATCATCATCATCACTCCCCACCATCATCATCACTCCCCACCACCATCATCATCACTCCCCATCATCACTCCCCACCACCATCATCACTCCCCATCATCATCATCACCGCCACTACCAACCACGACCATCAGAATCAGGAGAGCAGCAACGAGACACGCGTAAGACGACGTTTCGTAACGTGGCCTGTCTCTGCTGCTGCTGTTGTTAACCTTTCTCATCCCTTCCCCCAGCAAGCCACCACCCCCCACACACACCGCATCCGCTCTATTTGCCATTGTTCTTGTGGTCTTGGTGGTGGTGGTCCTTGGTTTGGTGGTCCTTGGGATCTGTTTTGTTTCTCGAGTCGAGACTCTTCACAAATCCCACGTCCCCGTTCTCGATCCGTGCTTTGTTGGGTTGGTGATGAGGATCAATCTCACGAGTTACGGGGCGCATGCTGAAAGGTACGTTGTGTTTTTTGCTAGATTATTATTGGGGTTTTTTTTCTTCTTTTTATATACCGGTCCGGGCAAGGACGTGGGGTTGCTGAGAAGGTCGTATGGGGTGGGTGTTTTTAAAAGATATATATTATTTTATTAGTAGCGAGGTCAGCCACTCTAGTTGTGGTCTCCAGTACTAGTTGCGGTGCTGTATGCTCCACTAGTGGGATCACCTTGGGGGGGTCCTCCTATCCCCTTTTCTTCACGAGATCCCCCTTTGTCTGAGTCGTCCGGCAGTCAGCCAGACATGGGTCAAGGTCTCTCTCCATCTCCCTGTCTTCTTTGGTCGCTTTTTTTTAGTAAAGTAAAAAAACAATTGGGGGGTTCTTTTACTTTGGGCCCCCTTTTTATTCAATGTCACTATGGCGGTGGGGGGGGGGTCCCTTTTTGGGGTCTCTTGGTCCGGGGTTATTCTTCTGTGGGTGTCATTTTTCGAGGTGTCTCGCAGTCCGCCGTGTCCCTCTTGGTCCGGGGTTATTCTTCTGTGGGTGTAATTTTTCGAGGTGTCTCACAGTCCGCCGTGTCCCTTAACTTGACATTTCTGATTTGGGTTCCCCCCGGATAAATCCATTCAATTATCTTCACAGGGGGCGAGGGGGATATCTCATTTTTTTCCTTAGCGGTCCATGTGGGTGACACTTTTACAACATTATTCTTATTTGATCAGTATTGTGTACATAGATCGGTATACACCATTGTCGCTATGAATATTACTCACAGTTCGTTAATAGATAAAGTGCAGAGAGTAACAAGACACACAGGGGTAATAATATATATGGGTGGACTCACCAACACCTTGCGAATTCGTAATGTAATGCATTGCGGTAAATCCACCCACCTAAACGTGTGGCTTCTTGATAATAAGCCTCATCCAGCAGTGGATAGGACACGGCAGAGAATCACGACGATGTTAATGTTATTCACACGTGCCCGCTTGCATGTTGCAAGCGGGCACGTGTGTGCTCTATAAAGTAAACCCAGCAGTGTAATTATAACTTGTGTGTGTGTGTCCATAACGTACGAATGGACATGATAAATAACAACAAAAAATACTTTGGCAGCGACGTATAACCACCACTTGGGGTGTGGTAATGTTTTGTTTTTAATTAGAAAGTTATTATTACTATTGTAATCATTATTGTTATGGTGCTACCCCATGTCATCACTGCGTGTCTTAAAGGGGACACTTTTGCTCCATCTCCCGAAAGTCCCTTGCTTTGTGTGATATTTAGTCCTCATTAATTTAATTTAACACATTGGTAATGTCCCACAGTGAGTGTCCAGTTACACAGTAAGTCTGTGCCATGTTTTAGAAAGCTTGTGCTGTGTATAATACCCGACACAACATAGACTCACAATGTTGTGTTTAGAGCGTCAGTGTTACAGCAGCAGAGTAAGTCTATGCTGTGTGTAGTGTCAGTACTATTATTATACACACCGTGTGTGTACCCACTGACTTTCAAATGTAAGCTCAACATAAGATCAAAAGATTCGTGTAAGTTAGGTTGATTGCCAGGGGGGCAAGAGTTAGTGAGCACCCACCAACACACACACACACTTCAAATTAATATTAAGTAATCTTCCCTAGATATTGCACAGTGCACAAGCACATGTTTACACTGTACGTGGTATATATGTGAATCCTAATAGTGTGTAGACATTGCACAGTATCGACTGTTCAACGTCAGTATTAAATTGTACTCTGTAGGTATTACGCTTTGTGTCACGTAGCCTGTGCAGTTATTACACAATGTGTGATAATGTTGAATTGTGTCCTGTGGATATTCCATGTGTGTACGCACGATGCTTGCTGTATGTGCAGTGAGTGGTGTATGTTCGTATGTGCTCAGAATGTGTTAACTGCGATGCAGAAGCTCCAGCTTGTGAAACGCAAACTATATACCACCCCCAGTTTGTGTGCGTACGATGTAGGGTTACAATGCAATAATTTAATTTTGCAGCCACACACACTACAGGGCCCCATGAAGATTTGATCTCACGTCTCTCTGCAAGTGTGTTGTTGTGTGTGGTTTGTGCATTTGGTGAACCGCTCTTCCCAACGAAGTCCCACTCATTTCCACATGCACAAGCAAAGCAATCACAACCTGGTTGCCCGAGATGTATGTGTGTGATCTTGGTTAGAGTCCCAGCCAACATCATCATCATCAGTGGCCGGTGATATCCGGAACCCTCTCTGGGTCCCCTGTGGTACCATCAACTCGCATTGATCTGCAGCTTTTGTGAATGAACTACACACGTCCTGAATCAGTGCTGTGTTGTCAAACGAACCCCTGGACAATGATTGACATGGAATTTGGATGTCCTTCATCCAGCAGTGGATTGACAAAGGTCTTCTAACATTTTATCACAGCGGGCACACATTTTCTCGTGCGTTATCAAGAGGGTAAAATAAAAATGTGTTTTACATTGAGTCTTGAGTTTGACATGAGATTTAGTTTCGACACGGTGTGAGTTTTAGGTGTGTGTGTGTACGTAATGTGTGTGAATGTGTTGTTGTGTGCGTGTGTGTCATTGGTTCCGATGTAAAACGTCAAGGCAATGGGGATGAAAAGCAGACCACGGGATTGTACATTGTCTGCTAAATATAAAAGTCTGTTGGAGGATGCAGACTTGTCAGGAGCGTGGTGTGTTTAAACACAGGTTGCCATTTGCCTTTAGAGACACGGCTTTAGTGTTATTGGCAGAGTTCCGGTTAAGTTGAAGTTTAGTGTTATACATGATCAGTGTTTTGGGGTGTTGATCTACCCCCCACCTCCCCCCCGGTGTTAGTGGGTATGGTAAAGAATGGGGTCCGTTATAGTAATAGATTTTACCCTTTTGACTGGCACAAAAACTGACACCTTTATTCAAGGCATCATGTTTGCCAGTCAAAAGGGTAAAAACCTATTACTATATCTTGTTACTGGCAAAGGAGGTCTCATAATGGGGTCCGTTGTTTTTTTTTCCTGATAGATGTTACGAGGGATATGGTAATGTGGCCAGGAATTGGGAGCTCGTGATGGGATTCGTGCTCAGGTTTAGTGTTGGGTAGTCTCGGTTTAGCGTTGGGTTAAGATTCAGTGGTTGGTGTTTGGTGTTTGGGGGGCGGTTACGAGTGATTCTGTAGTGTTTTAGGGTTGTTTGTGCTTGGGGTTAATTGTGGAGGTTACGGTATGGTGGAATCTTGATTAAAACAACTCCATCTTTAAAGGGGTCATGTTCACACGCGTTTAAGCCACGTTAGAGTTACGCATAGAGTAGTTGTTTCGTTACAATGGGTTTAAAGGAGTCCACTGTTACCGGTGAGGATGGTCCTTGTAACAAAGGGCTTGACTACGGTGGATCGTGTCAAATGTAAAGAGAGTGGTAACCCCCCCCCACCCTCCTGTAGGACACGTAGTGGGGTTTCTCCAGGCACTTAGGTTTCCTTAATTAAGAAATTTTAAAAAAACCCATTGCTTAATTATAAAGTAATAGGTCAAACGTCCAGTTTCAGGAGCCCCTTGGCCATAA